GAGAGAGAGAGAGAGAGAGAGAGAGAGAGAGAGAGAGAGAGAGAGAGAGAGAGAGAGAGAGAGAGAGAACAAATAAGATAAAGTGTGCATGAGTGTGTGCGTGTGTGTATGTGTGTGTGTGTGTGTGTGTGTGTGTGTGTGTGTGTGTGTGTGTGAGAGAGAGAGAGAGAGAGAGAGAGAGAGAGAGAGAAAGAGAGAGAGTAATGACTATAAGAAGTCTGAGTTGTAAATAGTGGTAACTCTCTATCTGAAGCATGCTCAATCGAGGAGAGCAGGTTAACCAAGCACCCATTTTTCAGGCCCATTTATAAGAAAACCAGACAGTCAATCGAGCAATGCACAGGGAGCCTGGAATCCGCAAAGTGATGAAATGACCTCGACTGGACAATGCAGTGTCAGCAAAGCATCAACAGCAGTGTACATCCAGATTCATACAAAGATGGCACAAGGTAGCGCAATGGAAGACTCAAAGATAGGACCTGACCTGTCAGGTACTGACGCGACATCCCATTATACATCACTCATGTGAGAGAGGTAGGAGGGACTGCACACATAGACGAAAGGTCCCTCCTTGCACACGCACACGGGGGAGATACCACGGATGAGGGATGGGGGAAGAGGCGAGACGAAGTTGGGGGCGAGGGAGAAGACAAGACCGTGATAGCGAAGTCCAAAATAGTCTCCCCATCGAAAGTCCAATCAATGTCTGCCACAAAAATGTCGGACCAGATCCCGGGCATCATGCCCGAAGTGACCTCTGCCAGTAACCTCTCTCTGTCTCAGTCTCTGAAAGAAGAAGAAGAAGAACAAGAAGATATCGTCCTCCTCACTGTCTCACCTGGAGGGAACTGCCGCCAAGTACTGACGTCGCCGGCGTACGCTGTACTGCAGGTCGCTGGAGCCAAGTCCAGCTATGGTGCCCAGGTACGTACTCGAACGCTGCAGGTCTGGCCTCCGCCCTGTCTCCCTACCTACTCCTCTACCTCTAGCTCATAACGCAGCACTGTGTCGCGCGCTGCTCCAGCAGCATGTCTCCCAAGAAGTGAGCTACTCGAACTGTTCCCATGCCCAGTCGCTGCCCAGCTATAAGTAGCGCTGGGCCTGGCTGGGCGCCCCTGATGCTGGCCTCAAACAGCCCACTCAGTCTGGGCCCCTACCGGGTGTCCAGACCATGCTGCTGATGCAGCAAGGCGCAAAAATACGCCTGGCCTAAAAACGGCCTCGCTCCTGTGTACCCAGCCCCAGGTGGAGCCTTGGGGCCTGCAAGTCCGAAACGTCATCTGCACAGACAAAAATAGGACAGCAAATATAAATAAATAACTAAATTATGCCTGTAGTCGAAACCCGCGGCCTGGGGGCCACCGTGGGGCTCCAGGGCGTGTATCTGATGGGTATGTGGCCTGGGGGCCCCTCAGCAACTGTCGGGCCCCGGAAATGGGGGCCGTGTGCAGGTGCAGCATGTAACACTATCCAATTCTCTTCTCATATCTTCTTCCGTTAGTGTTGTTGTATGGGTCTCCTATACATTGATCACTATCCTCACTGGTTACCCTCCCATCCCGCCTAAGTGAATGTAGCCACCATTTGCAACTCGGACTTGTAACAGTTACGACACGACCAATGTGTCCTGCTTTACTGAGCCCAATCAATGATATTCTCACCTAAGCCCACCCTTCCGACCAGCTATCCCTCTCTATGTTCTGCCACTCTTCAATCCCCTTGAGCTAGAGTACCCAAAAGCCTGATCCCTGCAACACCATGTGGGCTCTTCAGGAGCATACTGCATGGGTCCTGGGGACCATCTCACGCAAGTGTGTACATGCCATGCATCGTACTCCCACACACAATGAACAGTAGTCTGACAATAGACAAAGATAGAGAAGATGAGGACCGAGTTTCACAGTTTATATTATCAGAAATATGAATACAAAATGTTTCAAAGTTCCCCTGAGTCCAGCGCTCATCAGCGCAACACCAATATCTTGCCAACTCATCAATATGCCTTCCAGTGAATCAGTGCTACCCCTGCAGATAGTCTCCAAGTCATCAATGTGGTCACCACTCATCAGCGCCACCTCTGCAGGTCACATCCAACTCAGGTAAGTATCTTTCATAGCCAACCTTGAATGAACACTCTCAGCCTCAATCCCTTCCTCCTATGATGCATACACACTCTTCAATACTCATGAGGATCTACTCTGGATACTACTCATAGCTACATACTAACCCTCTACTACTAATGCTAACTCGCTGGGCAGCTATGGCTGCATCACTTCCAGCGTACAGGCATCTTCCTCCCTCCAGCGCGTCTTCTCCTCCAGCGCTGCTCCTCCTGACTCAGCGCACAAGTGCACCAGCACTTCCACGCATTGCAGCCAGTGGAGATCTGGCGAGGAATGAGGCAGGCAGCTCTTTTTATAGTGCTGGCCACTCCTCGCTGGGTCTGCATTGGCTCGATTCAGCCTCTCCCTTTGTCCCAGACCCTGCATTGCATGTGTCCCAGTACAGTCCCAATGAGATTCAACTGCTGCTGAGGCACTTCGGCCTGGATTTGGACTTGAAAGTCTGGATCTGGACTGACCCCTTGACTTAGACCAGAACTGGGACTGTGCCTACTGACTTCACTTTCGGACAGGCACAACTCTAAACGAACAGACACATTTACTACTTGAACAGGCACTTTCCATTGCACGAACAGGTACACTGCCTACACGTACAGACACACCCTTACTCGAACAGACATGACATACACATCTCCTGGTGAACAGGTAAGTCTTTTGACAATGCCCATTGCCTTAGATTTAGATGTGCCTGTTGATAGAGAACTTGACTTTTGACCTSTTTTCACGTTTCTGAGCCCTGGCAAGATACCTTTTCACAATGCTTTACTTTTACAAGGCCCGTGCTGCTCTATTTTTACAAGGCCTGAGGCCTATATCGGGTAAAGGCCCTTTTAATACATCCGAGGATGCTCGAGCTCCTTACCTCCGCTGGCTTTCCCCAAGAATTGATTAATCTCCGTTGCCTTGTCCCATCGTGCATTTTCCCTCTATTGTCTCTTTTTGGCCATGTGCTGCACTATCTCCCTGTTGACCATTCTCTTGTCCTTTTGCTATCATCATGCCTGCACTTATTACTTCAATAGTCATTGGCTAATGCAAATCTATTTTGTGCGTCTGATTGAGGCACAACTTTATTTCTATCGTTCCTGTTGCGATTCATAATCACTTGCCTTGCCGTGCGCTTGTTGGTCAACCTGTCTACTTACCTTAGATAAGCCTGTCGGGCTGGTTCACGAGCATATGCACCCTAGCTTGCTTGTGATGTGATGCATTGTGTTTCTATGATTGACACTTGTCTTGCTTCCTTGGCTTTGGAGCTTCTCACGCTTGCTACATATCCACATGGATCGATTAGGCATTACTAGGTGATTGCTTCGGCGCATACTTGTGATGTACAATCATACACGACAAATCTACGAATCAATCACTCATAATTTGCGAACCGAAAATAAGTGAAAATCAAACCATCGTGACAAAATTCAAGGAACGAAAAGACCGTGCATGTGGAGATTGTAGCAATCAAGCGCTTTTTCCCTTTCTGATTCCGCTTTCCGTTCTTGGTCCGGTATTTGCTATCAGACCTTATAGGTCCTGATGCTGAGATGGATATAAATGGAACGTAATCGAAATATGATGTTACTGCTCGTGGGTTCCTTCGGACACCAGATTTGTATTACTACTTTCCTATCATTCATTCTTCCTTGGACGCACTGCTTTCGCTGTTCCTGGTTGGTTCCATGTTCCTACCTTTGGAAAATCGAGCTTTGGGGTTTCTATCCTTGGATTTTGTTTTTCATGTTTTCTTTTCTCCTTCATTCTTTTTCGGTCTCATACGTGAATCCGAAGTCAGACACGCTGAATAGCTGTTAGGGCGTGTGGGACAAGCCGATACCATGAAGAGAGTGATGTGGGCTATTGATGCTTGGAGTACCCCTGAGAGAGTCTTGGCAAAGCGCACCAGAACACAGACACACAAAGACACGCAGACACACACACACACACACACACACA